GAGCTTCATTATCGATCCTTCCTCACTCATAATTGGCTTTAAAATCAGCTGTGTTGTATTACTTGTTACAGGGTTTCTAGAGGGGTGGGGGAAAGGTTCTCCATGCATTGAAAGGAACTCATATATGTTATTCTCCAAATGCTTACCCACCCATACAACTCCCATACTGTAATCCCATTTGGAGAACATCCGGTTGGGAAAATTACTGTGAGAATTGCATGGCTAGCTTTCTTCCTGCAGTGTTAACATATAAAAACTTTGTTAGTATTTTAAAAGTTCTAAATATAAATCTCAGGTATTGTTCATTACGAATGAAAAAAAGTTCTGATTTGGCTAACACTAGAACCTCATTAAAAGCAAAAGAAAAAAATGTACTTTGTCTCCTCATACATCAAGCTCTGTAATCCCTATTGAGTACAAATTGCATTTGGCAATCCCCCACAGCGTGACAGCCAAACCTCATCACCGCATTTTCTTCAAGCTGACAATCTGCTCTGAAGCTCTCCTTGCCAAGAGAAGCCCATGTTGGAGAGCATTTAATTGCTATTAATAGTGTCAGAAGCTCCCTGTTGTGACCTGAGGCACATCAGAACATTCCTGTCCAGATTATTGGCTACAAAGTTCAGTGGGATTTGCTTCCCTAAAGAATGTAGCAATTCTTGAAGAACTGTAGCAAACCCATATTTTAAAAAATTGATTTTTTTTCAAAAATACAACCTGCTACTTTGAAAAGAAAGAAACAATATCAACAATTATTTAACGGAGAAATAAGAGAGAACTCCTCTGCCAGAGGGCAGGGATTTACTGTTGTTTTAATTTCACAATATCTGCAAATGTTTCTACAGTAGCCAGCAAATGATTGGCACTTTATTAATACTAAAGATCTGGTCCAGCTAAAACAATTCTATCAGAGGCTGAGTCCCTCCACACGTTTATTAACACTATCAGTTTTCGAGCCGCTTTACCGAGAGCTGGTTGATGCCCTGAATGCCTTGCAATCTTAAATTTCAGATAGGAGAAGTAATAGTGGAGGGACAGGGGCAATATAAACAAGGAAGCAATATATCAGATGCATGAATTTAAGCTTAGTTTCTGATGAACCTGCAGCATACTGTGCCTTAAAACTAGAACAGGCATGAGTAATGAGTTGTCCTCCATATTTTGGACTTCAAGTACCATTAGCACCACCCAACAATGCCAATGGGAACAAATTGTCCAAACTGTCATCCAAAGCATTTGAAGGGGAACAAGTTGCCTTCCCTAAACTAGGAAATTCAGCCAATGGCTTTGTAGGAAGTATAGGATTTGAGGAAGATCTGATGGAAATGACAAACAGGTCATTTCCCTGCTAGTGACCTATATCATCTTCATAAGTATCACCCAGCCATCAGTGAAGTGATATAAAACCTGTCCTCATTATTTTGCACCGCAATGGTTGGATAACTCTAACAAAACATTGTAAGTTGCTAATGGGGATATGACTGTAGCAAGGGAAGAGGATGTTGAGAGACAACATGAGACTTTCAGGTACAGAGCAATGATGGGGCTGGAGGAGTAAAAATCTGAAGCCAATAAGTTAAATATAGAAAGAAACCAAGAACTACCATCAAGATTTGAAGAAGTTATGTTCAGAGTGACAGGAGAGATGCATGGGAGACAACAGGGGGAAGTAAGTGTGTATATTGGAGGGGAGGGGGGTATTCAGTTAATGCGCTTATGACATAATTTTTTTTAATTTTTTTTATTTATATGTCAAATTTGGTCACCGCCCATCTCACTAGGGAGTGATTCCGGGTGGTTCACAATACAAACAAAAAATAAATATTAATTAAAATACAGTAAAATAGTATAAAAATACAATAAAGACACAATAAAAACCAAATACATACACAAATAATAATATCTTCCAAGGTGCTGCTGGTAGAAAAGATATTAATGTACAGGAGTGTCTTCAAGGTGCTAGTCACCCTCAGGGTTGGTTGCCCCTTTTCTTGCCCCATGCAAGTTGGCAGATATGCCACCGTTATATGCTTGTGTATCATCATTTTGGTGTTGCTGTTTTGTGCTGTGGATGCTGCTGGAGAGATGGAATGGTTTGGCAGCAGGATATTGGGCAGAGATGAAGGAACTAAGATGAAATCATGAAAGCCAAAGGGAGATTGCTATAGTTAAGATGGAAGATGATCAGGATATGGACCAGAATTTTTTTCTTAGGGGATGGAGAAAAAGGGCTGTCTGGATACAGAGTAGTAAACCCAGAAGTTGCATGACTTGGCTCCCTGCTAAATGTGGAGAACTATAGAACGTTCTTGTTAAGCAAGGGTTGGGGTGGGGGGAGCCAAGGATCATTATCTAGTTCCTTCAACCATAGTTGAATCTCACCTTGGACAGTTTTAATCAAATAGAAACCCCTTGGGCTGGAAGGACATCTTCTCCATATCTTTGGAATCCAGAACGACTTGGTGAGCAACTGTCAAGTTTGTGTCTAGCTGCCAAATGCTGAAGTTCAGTTTGTGGTAATAAATACGTTTTGTGAGCCACAGCAAAGAGATTACATTGCCAACTATGTTGCATCCACCATTAAAACAACAAATGATTCAGGCCCTGCTTGTAAATCTCTACAATATTTTATTTAAAGAAAGTAGACGGCATAAAATTGGAGGAGAAGGAAAAGCAGAAGCCATTATAAAAGATTTATTGTACAGGAATGAAATAGAAACAATGTTAATGGAAGTAGAATAACTCTTAAATTCCATTACAAGGATTGCACTGGGCATGCTTCTGAACACCTTTTTCAGATTTCTGCAAGTATGATTTATGAATTCAGTTCACTGATGCAGAAAATTAAGTCTCCTACTTGACATGTCCAAGGGTGGGGGCATCATCCTTTGTCTTTGGGCAGATTGCACACAACAACCTCACTAGCAATTTGCTAATTATTGCCTCCTTTTTCTATGTATTGTGTTGGCAGGTTGCTTCAAAGATGGTCAGCATTATGAAGAAGGAGCAATGTTTAAAGATAACTGCAACAGTTGGTAATGTCCCCAAGAGAAAGGAATGAAGTATCTTCACAGATACAGCTGATCTGATCACCCGGCTATCATCCTAAACTCACAGTGATTTGAATGAGAGCTCCCCTCATGTATACAAACTGAAGAGAAACCACTCTTGTAAAGGGTTGCCAGCCTGCATCGAAACAGCCCATGAATTGCTTGCAAATGTGTTGCTGTGCTGCTGGTGTTACAATCTGGATAAACTGGTATCGTAAGAGTACATTTATGCAGTCTAAAGGTGGGGCTGCCTACTCTGCTGAATATTTACCCAGGCACAAGAGGCATGGAGACATAGAATGGGAGGGTACACGAGATTTTGTGGCTAGGCCTAATGGTTGTGGCATCTGAGCATAAACACTTCACAAGCAGATCACTTCAGAATCATCTACTTATGCAGTGTTTGTTTCTTCATAATTTTGTTTTCTTATGTAAAACTATTCTCTGTTCCATTCACTTCAGCAAGTGTGAAAACAGTCATTGGAGGTGCGCAGACGAAACATGCCTCATTCAGCCCAATTTAATTGAGCAAATCAACAATGGGACCTATGGGTAAGCATCTTGATTTGCGTTACTCTGATACAAATAGCTTCCACTTTATTTATAGAGAAAGTATCAGCTGGGTTGTTGTCGTGATACACTAACTCTTATGAATGCCTATGGCTCCACACGAGTACATGTACATACATATAGGTTTTCTAATATATTTTCATGTTAAAAATAAATCTAGAAGATCAGGTAGTCACCAAAGAACAACAACGAAGCTGACAATGGCTGGTGTGGATCTTCCGGGCTGTGTGGCCGTGTTCTTGAAGTTTTGTTTCCTAACGT